TTTGCAAATATTGAAAAATCCTTGCATCCCTGGGATAAATCCCACTTGATCAGGGTGTGAAATCCTTTTAATGTACTGTTGGATTCAGTTTGCTAGTTTTTTGTTGAGGATTTTTGCCTCTATGTTCATAAGTGATGTTGGCCTGTAATTGTCTTCTTTGTGATATCTTTATCTGGTTTTGGTATCAGGGTGATGGTGGCCTCATAGAATGAGTTTGGAAATATTCCTTCTTCTGCAATTTTTTGGAAGAGTTTGAGAAGGATGAGTGTTAACTCTTCTATAAATGTTTGATAGAACTCTCCTATGAAGCCATCTGGTCCTGGACTTTTGTTTGCTGGGAGTATTCAAATCACAGATTCAATTTCAGTTCTTGTAATTGGTCTGTTCATATTTTTCATTTCTTCCTGGTTTTTTTTTCTTTGAAGATTGTACCTTTCTCAGAATTTGTCCATTGCTTCTAGGTTGTCCATTTTAGTGGCATACAGTTGCTTGTAGTAGTTTCCTATGGTCCTTTGTATTTCTGTGGTGTCAGTTGTAACTTCTCCTTTTTCACTCCTAATTTTATTGATTTGGGCCCTCTCCCTTTTTTTCCTGATGAGTCTGGCTAAAGGTTTATCAATTTTGTTTATCTTTTCAAAGAACCAGCCTTTACTTTCATTGATTTTTTTCTATTGTTTTCTTAGTCTCTGTTTCATTTATTTTTGCTCTGATCTTATGCTTTCTTTCTTTCTACTAACTTTGGGTTTTGTTTGTTCTTCTTTAGGTGCTTTGGGTGTAGGGTTAGGTTGTTTGAGATTTTGCTTGTTTCCTGAGGTAACCTTGTATTGCTATAAACTTTCCTCTTAGAACTGCTTTTGCTCACAAGTTTTGATTAAAGAGGACGAAAGAAGAAAGGAAGAAAAAAGAACTACAAAAACAAATATAGGAAATTCCCTGGCAGTCAAGTGGTTAGGACTTGACACTTTCACTGCCATCAGCTGTGATATGATATCCTGGTCAGGGAACTAAGATCCCAAAAGCCGAGTGGCACAGCCAAAACAAAAACAAACAAACAGAAAAACAAATCCAAACAATTAGCAAAAAAGGATAAGTGATTTCTTAGTGTCTTTTGTCTGATTTTCTAAGGAAGCATTAGGGATGTTTCTTATTTAAGGGAAGCCAAATAAAGAGATAATTTTTAGGACAATTAATTATCAAAACTTTTTCTTGCACATGAGGGAACCCCGGTTCCAATGACCTTCAGCCAAAGAGGGTTAAAAGAAAGAAGGAGGAATCACTGGAACATTTGGCACACAGACCAGGCTCTATCTGGAACACACAACTGCCCAGGTGAAGTCACTAGGTATTCACTATCTTTAGTACCGGTTCTCCCCAGAAGGTGAGAAAAGTGGCTGCTCTCTGAGGAAAACTTGTATTTTACCATATTAGTGGCCACAGAGCATAAGGAGAATATTGTTTTTAATAGACTTAATAGAAAATTCCAAGAGGCAATTCTGATTGGGCGTGATTGGGTCACATGCCATCTCTGATGTCCCGTGGGCTTGGGGCTGGATATTCTGACACTTCAGGCTTTGAGGCCATGTTCATCTTTTTGGCATGAGGCTCAAACACTATGGAAAGAGGTAAATACTGAAATATTTTCATTACTGGCTTTTTATAAAGAATAAAATTGATGTTTGCTCAGTAATGCTTTTAAAAGAATCTCTTCCTCCAGGGAAGCCAGAGTTGTACATTTTCATCATGTGAGTAGTCAACTGTGTTGAATTCAACAGAGAAGGTCATTTAAAATACAGATGGGAAAGCCACCGGATGTGACATCATAGAGACAGACTAGTGGTGAGAGCCTGTTTTGTTGGAGGGATGGGCTCTGGAAAATAACAGCAATGAGTTGAAGAGTGAAAAGAGATGAAAATATGAAAACAAAGTTCTAGTCTTCATTGTGAAATGACAGCTTGTGGGAAAAAACCCAATATGTCTTTGAGTAATGATGCTTTAGGCTCCTGCATTTCAAACTGTGGTCCTGGGCGTTGCTTAGCAACTTGTTAGAAATGTAGAATCTCAAGGTTCATCCTCAACCTCACAACAGAGTCTGCATTTTAACTACATTCCCAAGAGATTCATTGAGTTTTGAGAAATGCTTCTTAGATGGTGCAATCCACAGTGATTGGAATAAGAAATTGTTCTGTGAGGGTAGTAAATGGCAGGTTATACTGTGTTGCTATATATTATAGACTGATTTTTCCAAGGTGTTTGTTATTAAAGAGGTGGAGAGAGGAGAGTAAACTTGAAAGTTAGATGTGTGGATAGATATTATTTTTGGTCGGGGTCAGTAAGGAAATTGGGAAAGAAGTGTCTGGCATTTTTGTCAGCACATGAGGAAGATCCTGTGGATGGAGGAAAGGAAGAGAACACCAAGAGTGTCCATTTATTGAGCAAGTTTTTGGTGAAAGTTGGAACAGGCTGAGTCGAAGGCACTGGTGCAAGACTGAGAAGGAGCTCCTTTAGAGAATCAAGATCTCAGGCAGGGAGACGTGGACTAGAACAGATTGGTTGGGTAGAAAAGACAGAGTGAACAGGGTGTTGGCTTTCATTTCAGAACAAAAGACAAAGCATCTAAGTGTAGAACAGCTATGTAAAAAAAAAAAAAAACAAAACATGTGTGCCTGCCAGACTAGCCAAGATCATTTATTTTGACTATTCATGAAACCAATAAGTTGCTTTGTACCACAATTAAAGAGCCAACATGTGCAAACAGAATAAGGACTCTGATGGTGGGGAATTGGAGATAGGAGAGTGGCAGGTCATGATGTGAAGGATGCTAGGATGGTAAGAAAGCACTCTGGTGCCAGAGCTGCCCTGGATACGGATGGATGGAATAACTGATTGGGAGAAATGAGGTGTGGGTCTGGGAGAGAAAGATGGCAATACCACAACCGCAGGATGTATTCTTTCTCATGTGAAAGTCCATAAAACATTCTGTACATAGAACTGTAGTGTTGGTGAGCCAGATTCTAAACTCGTTAGAGAAAACTGCTTTACCTTTGAGATTAATAGAAAATGAACATCCAAATTCCATGACCATTTGAGGAAAACGTGTATTAATAGGTGATAGGATGTTTCTGCAGTAACTTATCTTAATGATTAGTAATGACAGTATTCATCTTTCTACCATCAACGGTAGAATCACGTTAGCAGTTTACTTAATAATTTAAAGTTTAAGACTTTACAAAATAGTTTGTGTTGTATTTTTATTGTACCCAAATTTTGCAAAAATCAGTTTTCTGATTGTAAACTGAATTTAAATTTTAAACTGATTTTTCTGATTTTAAATTAATTTTTTAAAATTTATTTATTTATTTATTTATGGCTGTGTTGGGTCTTCGTTGCTGTGCCCAGGCTTTCCCTAGTTGCCATGAGTGGGGGTTACTCTTTGTCGCAGTGTGCGGCCTTCTCATTGCAGTGGCTTCTCTTGTTGCGGAGCATGGCCTCTAGGCACGCTGGCTTCAGTAGTTGTGGCTCACGGGCTTAGTTGTTACGTGGCGTGTGGGATCTTCCCGGACCAGGGCTCGAACGTGTGTCCGCCGCGTTGGCAGGCGGGTTCTTAACCACTGCGCCACCAGGGAAGCCCTTAAATTAGTTTTAATGTTTCAGAATGTTTCCTAGTGAATTCACTCTTCTGCTACTCCACTGTCGTAACAGTTTTGTTCCCTTCTTCATCTGCTTAGATATCACGTGTCCCCCAGTCCTTCTCAGAATCAGCCTGTAGCCTCACCTTCCACACCATGAGGAAATAAAATGCGTCTGATGGGAACTCCGCCCCCTTCTCGTAGTCAGTCTATCAGCTCTTCCTGTGCTCACCCCTGTTCTCCGCTCCTCCCCTCTTACTAACATGGAGGGAACGTCCCCCCCGCCTCGTAAAGCAACATCTGTGCATTTAGCTTGTCGCCCCACACCTCTCGCCCTTTCAGGGAGCTCCTTCTACCGTTCACCTACTCTCTCCTGCATCATCAGCATCTCCCCATCTCTTTCATACTTTCCATCACCACCAGGCTTCAGTATCTCTCACATGACAAGTGAAAAAAAGTTCTCCAGGGCCCCACTCGCCTTTGAGGCACCACCATTTCTCTGCACTCCTATTCAGAGCCAGACTCGTCCCACCTCCATTGCTTCCTTTCCATAACCCTCTTCCATCCTAGTCTCCTGCCAAGTGGAAAGGTGTAAGGGGACAAACCCAGGGGCATTTTCATTGCTGATCTTGCTTGATGTCCTGGCAGTATTCCACATGCTCTCCCCAAACATGCATGCTCTCCCATGGTTTTCCTCCTATGTCCCTAGATGATGTTCTTAGCATCCTGTGTTAGCTTTTTTTTCCCTTCAACACAACCTCTTAACGTTGGGGCATCTCAGATCATCTTGCGAGCCCTTAGCCTTTCCCACTCACTCTTAGTGGGTTAGTGGATCTACAGATGTGATCAGTTGACGACACCCAAGCTCTAGCTCTGGTCCAGACTTGCCATTATATGACCCCTAGCCCCATTTATCCAACTGCCTATTGAATATGCCTCAATGTGGTGGTCTCTGACACAGCTGAAACTTACCTTTATCTCCACCATGGCTTTGAAACCCTCAGTTATGTTTTTCTTTTTCAAGTTGCACCCACCTCCCATGCAGATGTAGGATTAAGCATATATAGTCTTCAATTTTACTTATTGTCCTTTGACTTTTCGTTTTTTCATCTTATTCTTTCAAATGCTGAATTATACCACCTACTTTCCTTTCGACGGTGAACATCTCTGTTACGAATTAATTCTATTAATAACCAACAAATACTTTCATGGAGAAATCTTGTTTGTGTCCTGTTACCTAATAGAAATATTTTTAGATCACATATTTTCAATTAGTGATGATATCGTCTGCATTTACAGGATATTACTGACCATATTCCAGAGGACATTGTATCCTTAGTTTAATCTGTCCTTTACCAACATGTATTTCCAGAGTTTAGTTTTAATCTTATCCATTTCTACTAGCTATAAACAATGTGAGATATTGATGCGTCTGTCCTTTTTAATTGTGATAGACCACTGTTTTTACTTTGATACCTAATTTACCTCTATAGCGTTCTTCTAAATATCCATATTTTATTTATATAATCAATAAAGCAAAAGCTTATTAATTAAACAGATTAGATTTCTATCGGCATTTAAACATCGATTGCACACCTAATGAATTTTTCTCTGTTTAATTCAAACCACAGTCTGCTGTATCTGATTTTCTCAAATGCTTTAAGCGCTGTATGAAGCAGACACAATACACACATACTATTAAACTTGTTGAAAATTGGATTGGTTCACTTAGGCTAATCAGGTCAGAAGTGCTAATAAATTTAAGGGTGTTTCTTTACTTTTATATTCTTACTCCCTCGTACTCAGTTTTAGGGTTTTCTCTCGTTTTCATCAATTTCACCAACGGTACACGTGTCCAGTGTTTCAGTAATCGTACACACCCTGAAGATGAGCATTCTAGCTGCCCACAGTTGGAAGAGTTGATTTATCAACCAGTTTGTTCCTGGTGTAGGTCATGAGGACTGTTTGCGTCTTCCAAGGTGATTTTACCTGACTTGCTGACTCCGCAAGAGAGGCCCTCCTTTTAGAGGTCACTATTGTCCTTTATATAAGGAACTGTCCAAATCACTGTTCCCAATAGTTGGACAGTTTTGTTTTCTGGTAACCCCAGCTTTTATCCCGAGCTGTCACTCGATCTGGACATCTCAGCTTTTTAGTACAATTCATTAACACCTTAATTTAGTACCACTTTCCCTTCGTTATACAAACTGGAGTAAGCCTTCTTTGCCATTGCTTGTTCTGAGGGGGACCTAGTGAAGCCCATTTACGTCGGAAAGTTTAGGTCAGTGGTGCTCTTCGAAATTACTGTTCTCGCCCATCTGCAGTTTAGTCCTGGGTATTGACTTCTGTGATTACTGACCATTATGATGATGAGATTATCATCCTTGGTGTTTGGTCCCTTAGACTGGTACATGCTTACGCTTATCCCTGATGCATACGTACGGAACACATGTCCTGCACCGTTTAAGCTGAAGTACTGCCAGTTCTGTCCCCAGGAGTCTGTCCAAATTCTTGGATGGTGGTAAGAAATAAATTATGAAGTTGCTTTTCATTGCCATCTGCGTAGCTCGAGAAATAGTATCTGAACACCCTCACAGACTATCACCAGCTGCGACTTTAGAACCAGACTGGTCCCTTGGAAATAAAAACAGGTGTTTTACATACCATAAATATAGTTACACAGATGGAATGTTTAGGATAGAGAAAAATACTCCTTACCTACTTATTTTAGTTCCCATTATTTTTCTTGTTCTTCCTGAATAATCTACGACCATCAGTAGAAGGTTGTTTTTGGGAGAACAGGCATGAAAAAGGGAAACAAATTTTTATTTATGGCTTATGAAAATGTAGAAAATCGATGAATACAGAATGATACAGAGCAGAATCGATGGCTATAGAATAATGCAAGGTACTGAATTACTACACATAGGTATTGACACCTGTAGTACCCTTAGTTTTGTACTGGCTAATGTCTTTTGACCATGGTGGTGTTTTTATAAACGATGTATCTTCATACTCTTGATGAATACTCGTAAAGTTCTGTTCACGTTCTGTACATTTTCCATATCTTTTTACCTCTTATAACACCAGGTAATCTGCAACAATATTCACAAAAATATTGCAGTCCTAAAATTTTGCAGAGGTAAATGTCACTTATTTTTACATCCCCCTTCTACATGCAAAGCATTTCCATACTGTTATCACGTGGGCTGAAGTATTTCCCCCTCAGGGTTATTTTGAAGATAGAGAAGTTTCCGAGCCTGACAACATGTGACATGTTAGTTTCAGGTGAGTTTACTTCCTTCATACAAGTCAGAAGACTTAGTAAAAGAAAAAAAAAAATACAGGAAAAGCTTTGAGGCTCTCAAGCTACAAGTTTTGCAGTGGATAGCTGCCTTCTACAAAAGGATTCTAAGGGGTTTTAGAATGTTCACATCTGACAGAAAACCTTACTTGAAAATATGCTGCGTGTTTTCATTCAGAATGGTATAGGCACATTGGGAAAAAAGTGTATGTACATTACAAAACAAAAAGTCTTCAAGTCATCCCCAATATCCATATATTAGGAATATTCATTATTGTCTGTTAGGCATGATTATTTCTTTGAGTGCAGAAACATGGACACAAAAGTACATCTTTATTTTTTTAGCACAAAAATAGATTTGGTTCATACTTTCTGTAGAATGTATATTCTCCTGCAACTTTATTTTTTTTCCCTGTTCAGTATACTTTCAAAGAAATCTTTTCTTAAGTTTTATACTTAGTTTACAACGTGTTAATTTTTGCTGTACAGCCTAGTGATTCAGTTATATACATACATTCTTTTTCATATTCTTTTCCATTATGGTTTATTACAGGATACTGAATATAGTTCCCTGTTCTATACAGTAGGATCTTGTTGTTGTTTGTCCATTCTATATATACTGGCTTGCACCTGCTAATCCCACACTCCCAGTCCTTCCCTGCCCTCCTCCCCCTTGACAACCACAAGTCTGTTCTCTATGTCTGTGAGTCTGTTTCTGTTTTGTAGATAAGTTCATTTGTGTCATATTTTGGATTCCACATATAAGTAAGTAACATCATATGGTATTTGTTTCTTTCTGACTTAGTTCGCTTACTATGATAATCCCTAGGTCCATCCATGTTGATGCAAATGGCATTAATTCATTCTTTTTTATAGCTGAGTAATATTCCATTGCATATATGTACCACATCTTCTTTATCCATCCATCCGTTGATGGACATTTAGGTTGCTTCCATGTCCTGGCTGTTGTGAATAGGGCTGCTGCGAACATAGGGGTGCATTTATCTTTTTGAATTAGAGTATTGTCTGGATATATGCCCAGGAGTGAGATTGCTGGATTATATGGGAGTTCTATTTTTAGTTTTTTTGAGGAACCTCCATACTGTTCTCCATAGTGGCTGCACCAACTTACATTCCCACCAACAGTGCAGGAGGGTTCCCTTTTCTGCACACCCTCCCAGCATTTGTTATTTGTAGACTTTTTGATAATGGCCATTGTGACCAGTGTGAGGTGATAACCTCGTGGTAGTTTGTTTTGATTTGCATTTCTCTAATAATTAGCGATGTTCAGCATCTTTTCATGTGCCTCTTTCTTGGCCATCTGTATGTCTTCTCTGGAGAAATGTCTATTTAGGTCTTCCGCCCATTTTTTGATTGGGCTGTTTTTGTTGTTGTTAAAGAAATAATTCTTTTGAATTAACTTGTTAGTTTTAAGTTGCCGTTGTCTGCATACCCGAACACTGACACGATCATCTCCTACTCGTGGTCCCTTAGAGTCTCTTCGGTCTTTATGCATCTATCACTGCATGCTGCAAATATTTCCTTTGGAGAAACCACTAGAGGAAGAAGTGCTGGCTCGAAGGGAATACATAATTGAAACTCTGAAAAGTTCTAGGCAAATTCCCCTTCAAAGAAGGCGGTAGGAAGACACACTCTCTAAACAGCTTCTGAGAGCATTTTGCTCCCCACCTTTACTAACAACGGATAGTATCAATCTTTTCAAATTTTGGTGATCATGTAGACCATAGTAAATGGGACGTGCGCCTTGTTTTAATAGAGAGAACATATTAATCTTCTCTTGGGTTTGTGGATCCATTTTGTCCATATTCAGAAACTCACGCAGTAAGAACACCATGTGTTCTTTTGGAATTCCTTAGTAATGTGTTTCTTTGCTTCTTGGTCCTGATGGGGGAGATGGGGCATTATTGCTTTATTCCATTATTCCTATTAATTATTCCTTTTCCTATTTCCATCAAGAACAAAACCTCTGCTCCGTGGTTTAACAGGGATGCCTGCCGGGGACAGACTCGCACTACCTCTTTCTTACTCGTCCTTTCACATCTGTCTCAGAGAACTTTTCTCCAAGGTGATCCCCACGTAGAGGACGTTTGGCGTGGCCCTGGGTTCAGACTCTCATTCATTCCCTTTCTCTCTCAGAAGCTTCCCCTGCCTTCAGAGAGAGGCCAGCTCACCCCCTGCCAGCTCCCCCTGCCAAGTCCACACACAGGAGGCCCACCTCCTCTGGTTCTCTTCTTTGCGTGAAAGACGTCACAAAGACCATGATTTTGCACGTGTCCAGCTTTGGCAGCTACGTTTGGAGCTTGCTCTGCTGGCTCCGGTTTTTCCAAAGGCGGATTCTAACGTTGGAATGGGGTCGGGGTGCTTGGGAGGTGAGAAGATTCTTCAAGGCTAATTCATCCTTGAATACATAAGACGTCCTACAGTTTGGAGACACAGACTTCATGCCGATCCTCACATGAGGTCCTTTGTGTGAGCTTTAGCATACGTCTCCTGTCCTCTTAATTACTAACACGCCCTGGTCCTCAAAGTATTTGAGCCAAATATTGTGCTCATACATGATTCATCTGATTTGTGAAATTTTACCATATTGGATTTCTCTGTACCCAAAGGGTATCCAACTGGAGGACAGTTGCTACATTGATTCAGATTGTGTATATATAACCAAAAATCATAAGCATGAGGTGATATTTGAATTAATATTTCTAATTTTAGATATATTTCTAACATGAGATCAGAAGGAATACTTTTTTACATGACAAAGGGAATTTGCCAGTTTCCCAAAAGGTGCCTAAAATCTGAAGACAACCTTTTTTTTTTGCGGTACGCGGGCCTCTCACTGCTGTGGCCTCTCCCGTTGCGGAGCACAGGCTCCGGACGCACAGGCTCAGCGGCCATGGCTCACGGGCCCAGCCGCTCTGCGGCATGCGGGATCCTCCTGGACCGGGGCACGAACCCGTGTCCCCTGCACCGGCAGGTGGACTCCCAACCACTGCGCCAGCAGGGAAGCCCTGAAGACAACCTTTTGATAAGAATGTTAAATTTCTGTGTAAACAGATATTTCTCCTGGAGCTGGCTCATCTCACAGTAAGTGTGCAATGCATTCTACATAACACTAAAACATCTCTATCATTCAGAAGGAAGGCGATGTATATATGTCATACTTTTACAAATAGGCTCTGTCAATATGTGTTTAAGTACTAATCAGTCAACAGTATACAAATGATCAGCCTAACAATTTGATATTTGTTTAGGGTCCCTGTAAAATTACTCACAGAATTGGAAAGCAGTGCCATGCCAAGAAGATAATAAGTCCAGTTTCTCTGCTAATTTAAATCTTATTCCAAGCGTAGGTAGGATCTGAAGAGGAAGAAATGCAAATGACATGTTCATAGAACATTCCAGTATTCATTTATTCACTATACATTGATTCCATGCCGAGGTCGCAGTGCATCTCCAAGTACAACATATAAGCATGTGGAATACTTTTTGGATGCAAAATTTAAGACCGTGTGGAAAAACAGTTTGAGGAACCAAGGTAACAAGTACATCACTGACATCTCAGATGGTTACAATCTTTCATTAAAATAAAACAAGCCACCTTACTGCCTGCAGGGCATGTTAATGCTATTAACATAGAAATAAGGGGAATTCTGTCATTGATTACCATTTTCCATCTCTTGCTCATGAGATCTGTTCTTCCTTGGGCTTCGAGTTAATGCTTAGAAGTTGCATCCTTTATGGCAAAGGAGGGCCATAACTTTCCTGTCTTTTCCTTGAGCCAGGTGTTCTTGGTCTTTCTGCGTTTAAGACTTGTAGTTATTACGCTTCGTCTGCTGGTTCCTACTACTGTCCCAGAAGAAATCTGTGAGTGCTTAAAATGGACAAACAACCAAGTGCAAACTGTTTTTAACCAACTCAGCCTGCAATTCCAATTTGTCTGATAGCCTTAGCTCTGCCCATGCTAATTTTGTGCTGACACACACATGCTCGGTTCCCCTTATTTGTGGGGTTCTTTTTTGGCCACTTGGCTTGTGGGATTTTAGTTCCCCGACCAGGGACTGAACCTGCACCCTCGGCAGTGAAAGCGCGGAGTCCTAAGCACTGGACCGCCAGGGAAGTCCCTCAGTCCCCCTTATCACTGGACCGCCAGGGAAGTCCCTCGCTCCCCCTTATTTGGATGTGAGCGTTCTCCCTCCTAACAGACACAGGAAGACAGTTAACACAGAAAGACAGTTAAAAGACCTGGATTTGCTTTCTCTCAGCATCTCCTTTCCCAAGGTCTATTCTAAAAGTCCACTTGTATTTAGGCTTTTTTTTTTTTCCCCCTTATACCCCTCCTCAGGATTTTTAAGCACCTGGTTTGCTTGGCTGTTAATGGGTTTAATGCCTAATTAACCCTGGTAAGAGTGACACTCACCTGCATTGACATTTTCCTCATTGTTAAAGGCATACATAGATTAATTCATATGGGCTAGAATAGTTTTCCCAAAAAAGGGTAGCTTCAAATGAAGGATGGGTCACTCCATGTGCAGTATGCACTGTGCCACGTGTAGCAGGGTGAGAAGAGGTACCCAAGTGGTGGTACACAGCTCCAGTATTCAAGGAGGTGATGGCTATATCACAAAGAACCCTGGGATACCAGTTGGCATGTAGAAGATAAGTCTTGAGAAAAGAAAGCAGTGAGAAGTGTGTGTGTGTGTGCGCGTGTGCGTGTGTGTGTGTGTGTGTGTAGGAATGTTTTGTGGGCCAGCCTGGCTGGTGAAGAAGTAGGGAAGGAGAAGAAGCAAGAGGACCTCTCCGGGCAGAAGGAACAGGTTGTACAAAGGTATCTGGAAGCAGAGCCCACGCTAATGTGTAATTTGTTTATCTGAAGCGTCTTCTAAATACAGGATGGTGAACCACAGGAGATAAGACTAGGACATGTTCTGGAAATAAACTTGTGCTGGCCTGGCCGGCCTGAGGAGCGTGTGATGGCTCCCTGAACAGTGGAAAGACATCGATGATTCTTGAGTGTGGAAGGAGGAAGGCATCACAGTTATATTTCAGGAGGGTAAGTCTGAAATCACCGAGTGGGAACAAAACAAGACTTAAGGAACCAGTTGTAGAGATGATTATAATTCCATGAGAGGATTTGAGGGTCTGAATTAAGTAATGGTGTGGAGAACAGATACTGCTGAATGTCCTTTTAAAGGCTTCTGAGGAGCATGCAAGAGCTATAATGACCCTATGGATCCATCCACAGAGGGATGGATAAAGAAGATGTGGTATATATGCACAATGGAATACTAACCAGCCATGAAAAAGAATGAAATAATGTCATTTGCAGGAACATGGATTGACCTTGAGATTATCATACTAAGTGAAGTAAGCCAGACAGAGAAAGACAAGTATCTCATGATATCACTTACATGTGGAATCTAAGAAAAATTATACAAGTGAACTTGTTTACAAACCAGAAACAGACTCACAGACATAGAAAACATACTTATGGTTACCAAAGGGGAAGAGGTGGGGAGGGGTAAATTAGCAGTTTGGGATTAACAAATATACACTAATATATATAAAATAGTCAACAAGGACTTACTGTGTAGCACAGGGAACTCCACTCAATACTCTGTAATAACCTATATATGGGAAAAAATTCTGAAAAACAATTGATACATGTATATGTATAACTAAATCACTTTGCTGTACACCTGAAATTAACAAAACATTGTAAATCAAGTATACTCCATTATAAAATAAAACTTTTTTCTAATAACTAAAAAAAAAAAAAAGACGAAATGCCGGACTAGTCATTTTGGGGAAGAGCCCAAACCCAGAGAAATCAGGTGAGTGTTGGAGCTTTCAAGCTGCTTTGGCTCCAGTGATGATGGGCTATGGCCACTCATTTGGGTTTGGGTTTCAGTGGCGCCTTCACCCTACCCTTGGGGCCTGGAGTCTCTAAGTTTGAGCCTAAGGTAGATGCAAATCAGAACTGAACCAGCCAAACCCCACTCCAACCTCAGCACCGCACAGAAGGCTGCTTTGGGCCAGAGCAGAGGAAAAGAGGAGGACACGATAAACAACAACAACCATGTGTCCTTGGGAAATGGGTCTGGGTGGGGTAGATTTGCTTTTGTACAAATGCAAAGTGGGTACTGTTGGCATCCAGCTGAAAATAACCCAGTTGGGAGCTAGGGGAGAAAGGTTAGATTTGAGGACTCTATTTAGGCTGTGTTGCCAATGGATAGAACTGTGGGAGGGGTGAGATTTCTGAAGGAGTAGGGGGGACGCACTCACCAGGAGAGGACCAGACCCAAAGATGCAACAGGAGGAGCAGAGATGAAGGATAAGGAGACAGGGCGTGTCACCTTCTCCCAGAACCAGGTTCACGTGCAAGGGGTGTATTCAAGTGAAGTGCCCTTGGGAGGAACCAACAGTGGACAGAGGGAGACCGGGAGGGCAAGGAGTCAGGTAGCTCTGTTAACTCCCGCTGGAGCCGTCGGAAGGAGCCCGCCACTGCCGGGGCACAGGCAGAGAGCCTGGCTTCGAGGATCCGGGCAGTTCAGCGATGTCAGCTTTACCATAAGAGAGGCAGCAGGAAAGTCGCTCAGGCTCATGTGGTCCCTATCGAGGAGGGAACAGAGAGGCAGCTGAACCCTCGGAGGCCAGGCGGAGACCAAGAAGTCCAGGAGGAGTGCAGGTTCACAAGTGACCCCAGAGAGCCGTTTCAGGAAAGCCGTGGGACAAGGAAGAGGGTTTTAAAGGAGGAGAAATGAAAGGGTAAGAATTGAATAGATACAGCAAGAGGAAACTCCCACTTGGGTTGTTCAGCCATGAAATACGGTGGCAGGAAGTTCTGTCTTGAGGGGATATTTTGGGAAGCATTGTTGTCCCCGAAGTGCAGCTGAATACACGTATAGTCAAAGAAGACATAATAACTTACATTTGTAGAAAGCTACCGTCACATTGCGAGTGGAAGTCATTCTTCTTACATGGCATTCCGTAAGGGCTCATCACGTCCTGTCCGCTCCAGGAGCTGGAGTACTGGCACCATGCAGACGAAGCATGCTTCTGTTCTGGGGAATTCTGTCTGAAAAATTCCGGGGAGGGCTCTTTACACTCAGAACGTTGTGGAATCCATAAAACAATGACAGGAAGTGACTCTGCACACACTTTGGATTTGCAACTGGGTTATCTGTACTTTTAACTTCAGCATAAAATCCATGAACGATCTAAGATTTTTATGTTTACAGAGTATATTCTGTTCTCCCATTATCTTCCTCTCTCCCTCCATTCCCTTCTATTTCCATTCTCCCTCATTCCAGAACGACGGGACCAAGTTACCCTTGGGCCCCCAAAGGCAACAGACAGTGCGTGTGTCTCTGAGCCCACAATGAGCTGGAAGGGAGACGGCCCAGCCTGCAGGGGCTGCAACGTGCCTACTGGCCACTGCAGCCCCAGACATTCCTTATTTCATGGCTCTACTACAACGGGATGAGATCTTCAGAGAAAATAAGCACGAACCCCCCAAACTAGACACCCGAGAGTCTTAGAACACACTTACGTGAGAGCCCCTAACGGCCCTCTGAGGCAGCCGGACTCTGAGCCCCCATGTCTGCATGCAGGTTGGAGCCCTGGCACCCAGGAAGGCTGAATTCCTGCCCCACCCCTGCTCTCCAGCAATGGGGAGTTTCTCTGCTGCTGGGAACCCCCAGCAGTAGCTGCCTGCTGTTTCCAAACCTGCCAGCCCTTATTGCACCGTCTCACGGATAACCACGTTAGATCTCAGATACTGCTGGGGCTTCTGCTCCTGGCCCTTGAGCTTTGCAACGACTAGCTTCCGAATGAGGTTAGCACTCCTGTCCCTACACCCTTGGAGACTGGATTTAATAACCATCGCGCCCTCATTTTGCTCCCACCCTCGACCCTCTGGCTTACCTGGGTAGCGTGTCCCGCAGCTGCCCTCATTCCTCCATTTCCTCTTGAAGCCTGTGAGCTCCTTCACCACGGATGTCTTCCCGTGTGTTAGAACACGTCATTTCAATCCCCAGAACATCCCACTGAAAAGTAAGCAGAGCCTAACAACAGTTTAAATGTGGGCATTGCTTTTCCCCTTTCAATCGACAGTATGCCTCGATTCTGTAGTTTTCCCCAGATTATAAGTTGCAAAGCAATCACAGTATCTGTTATGTTTCTTACTTATTTCTCTTGCACACAACGGTCATTAGATGAGTTTCTAACCCAATTCGGAGACAGGACACTGGGTAGAAGTGAAAGATTTCAATTATTTGTAAAATTAATCCATAAAATTCCATCTGATAGAAAGCTGAGTAACTCGCATAGGTTTAAACATATTGTTAATGAAATCACATGTTTTATCCACCCAGATAAAGCATGAGCAGATTGATTTTGCTTTTGTTTCTATCCATTTATTCACAAAGTATTTACTAAAGCTGATAAGCTCTGAGTACGCTAAGCAAGTTGGACAAGCTTCCTGTTCTCAGGGAATTTACATTTTCTGGGAAGTGAAAGTAGGAAGCTTTCGGATGATAAGAAATATGAGAAAAGGAAAACAACTCTGCCCAAGAGCAGAATCAAAAGAAACAATGTCATCTCTCCAAAACAGTGGTTCGTTCTCACCTGGGGCAGCGTTGCCCACGATGGGACAGTCAACAATGTCTGGGTCGTTGTGGCGGTATCATCTGCAGGGGGGTGGGGTGGGGCTGCTACTGCATCCAGCGGGTGGAGGTCAGGGATACTGCTCCCCATCCTGCAATGCACAGGGAGGCCCTCCACAAGGAAGAATCCGGACACAAGTGGCAGTGGTGCTGAGGTTAAGAAACCCTGCTCTCACGCTAGAGTTATAATGCACGTATAATTTCCTTTTATGCT